TCACAGTCCAAAGTTTTGTAATCAATTTTGGAGATAGTGCTTGTAAATTGGTTAAAACGTTTCTTTAGATTAAGACACAGCAATACGGGGTTATGGTCGGTAACAAGGGAGTCAATTACTATGGTGAGTGCTGATAGATTAGTTTTGAGAAGTACATGATCGAGGCAGGCGCCGTCTCGAGTAGAAAGAGTATGAGCTGGAAGTATGCCATGTGAGGCTAATAGGTCCAGATAATCTGCAATTTTATTGGAGGATATGCTACAGGAAATATCCAGGTTGATGTCTCCGACAATAGCTATGCATTTGAATGTGGTTAGGGTCAACAAGAGAGCGTCAAGTGAGTTAAGGAATTTTTTTATGTCATGGAAAGAAGGGGATCGGTAAGTACATATTATTGCCTTATCAGTGCCTATTTTTATTACCAGACAAATAGCATCAGAAAAATCTGGTTCTTCTACTGTATATTTTCCCAAATTTTTAACATAAATCACTATGCCGTCGTTTTGATTACAATTATTTTTAGTTAGATGACAGGAATAGTCAAAAATGTGGGGAACAACATCTTTACATCGCATTAGCCAGCACTCAGTCAGTATGATTACTTCACATTCGAGGTTTATTCTGCAAAGCAAAGTTAAGAAAGAATCAATGTTAGCATTTATAGAGCGAATATTTTGGGTTATTATTTTTAACTGCCTCGATGGATTGATTATATATTTGGAACATTCCTCGGGCTGACAATTTAGTGTAGTAGAAACAGTGAGCTGATCAATAGTGTTAGCTAATTCTGTTATACTATCCACGGCTAAAGTAATCTTGTGTGGGTCTTCTAAATTGCGGCGTCGCTATTGAAAAACAGTATGTTGCATTAAGACTTAGTTTTTTTATGTAAAGAATGCAGTTGAGGCATATCTTCCTGTATATGTTTAAGTATAAGGTAGGTGTAAGTGTAAATGTAGTATTTGAGTAAGTGTAGAAAGTAAAGTGTTTGTGTAAGATATGTATATGTATAATGTGTTTGCTTATAATGAGTAGTTTAGTTTTACCATGCAAAAATGTTCTAACAGAGCAAAAAAAATAGAAAATAAAATTGAATGAAACATAATCTAATAGTTACGTAAACTAGTCATACTTGTTGCAGTTTTTCAATATGGGCTTCGTTTCTGATGAGAATCGCTGGTTGTTCTTCAGCTTTTCTTATAAGTACTTTGCCTTGGGCAAGTCAACAGAATTTATATAGCTTTTGTTTTATTAATTGACGAGCCATATAGTAAAGCTTCTTAGAGGTAAGTGTCAAGTCTTCTTGAATGAATACTGGACTCGGAGTTCCACTTATTCCAAAGTGGGAGGAATTAAGTTTTTGCGTCTGATTCGATTTATTGTAATCTCTAACGCAGGTGAGGATTGCGTGTTTAGTTGTTATAGAATTGAGCTCCAAGATTACTGGTCTCGTTGTCCCTTTCTTACCAGGAACACGGTATATATGACGTATATCACTTGGTTGAAGGGTACAGTTGAGTGAACTTGCTGGGTTAATCATCATCTGGATCAAATCAATATTAGACTCTTTATCCTCACAAGGTAAGTTACGGATTCCTAAATTATTTTTTTTCATGTTATATTGCAGATCTTCAACTTTGGCTTCTAGCGAAGATATAAATAAGTAGTTGTCTTTACATTGCTTTTTTAGATTTATTATCTTTACTTGCATATCTTCGTACTGTTGAGAGATAAATTGTAAAGACTTCTCAAACTCTGAGGTTGTGGATTGTAACTGTGCTAAAGAATGTTCCATTTTGTCAAGTTTGGAATCTAGATCTGAATCTGATTTCCAAGAAGTCAACTCGTTTTTGAAAGCAATAAAATCTTGAGCTTGGTCCTAGCATTTGCAAAACATGCCGGACGCGATGTTGATTGGACCTTAGTTCAATCAGAATCACAACCTGCTTTACTTGGTGAACGCAACATGATAATACGCCTTTACTTCGTAGTAGCTATTTCAAGGGCCAGTGATATTGCTATTGTAGTTTAGATAGGCGTTAGGCTGCAGTGATGGATGGGGCCAGTAGTAACGAAGGCGGAGCTTACCACGCGGTTGTTGATGTTGTTAATCCTCTGCAACGGCTATGCGCTCCTGGTACTGCGTCAACTTTTTACACAGAATTTAACTAGTTTTAAATTATTTATTTAAAAGTTTAGTAATTATTTGGCACGGAGGGTACGTCCACACGCTATCGCGGTCCGAGGGGAAGAGGATGGTGTATCCTATATGTTGACCCGACTTCTTAATAATATTTGTGCCTTTGAAGTAAATCCATGCACTACTTTCTGAGTTTACCCCGGACATACATACAGACAAACAGACAAAAAATCTAAAATCTATATTTTTGGCTTCGGTATCGATTGTAGATCACACCCCAAGTATTCTTTTAAAAAATATTCAATGTACAGTTTTGACTTTCCTACCATTTTATTATATGTATGGATTGTAGGAAAACATAAAAAACTTACTGTGCCAACTTTTTAATTCCGCCATATTGGATTTAAGGTGACGTCACACAGCTAACCATGCATTGTCATCCAATCTTAACGTGTGTACAAAATTTAAGCTCAATCGAATGAAGACATCTGCTTCAAAATTAAGTTGCAAGATTCCACACGAACAAATATACATACATTTTCTTTAAAAAAGGCTTATAAAATAAATATTAAAACAAAAATGGAAGAGACAGTACGCTCATACTAGCATCAAATAAAATATGCTCCGACTCAACCACATAAGCAACTCTCACACACGCATACCTCTGTAAATAAAAATTCTATTGAGCGAGCGAGACAGAAATGTACGCTTCAACGCAGCGCGAACGAAACGGCGTCCGAGTTCGCACGGCTGAGCTGTATTGTTGTCCTTTTCTTGATAAAAAAAATTGCGATTACGTAAATAACATTCACGACAAACCGTGGATTATTGAGATTTTTTTTACAGTTTTACGAATGAAAAGTGGTACCTAGCATTTGTTATTTGATTTTGAACTATTTATGTTCTTTATAAAACATCGAAAGTATTATTTTATCTTTATAACACAAAATATACGCAATAAGAAGGTGTTGATGCAGTAATGGATGTTATTGCAGAAATACATATTATGTAGTATTTTTATTAAATATTTTGCATGAGGTGGATTTTTTCTATAAAATAAATACAGGGTGTATTTTGGGGGATTGCGGGTAAGTTTCGTGGGGAAGGCGAAATGGCTTTCGGGTAACACTGTTCGCTTTAGTCACACACAATTGGACATTAAAACACGCTGCATGTGCACTCCATATCACATCTATGATTTTTAATGTGTAAATTGTACTTATTTTGATTTGATTAAGTTTACCCACTTTTTTGGGAAATGTGCCCTGACCTGGTATTAAAACTAACCTTACGCATGCGCACAATGAAAAGAAAGAGTTACATTTCGATAACATTTCGCGAGTGTTCGTTATAAATATTCGCGTGTTTAGTTTGTGTCTCACGCACACAAGTAACCAGGTCTGTTTATATCGCAGTATTGATAAGGTGACGCACTATCTAGAGAGTAAATAATCAAAGATTGGCTCTTTTCTAGTTGACTCAATAGCCTCACTATAAATAATAAAAGACCATTGAATTTACATGCATATTGATGTCGATTCTGGCATGATTCTCTAAAGCTAAACTTAATTTGACAACGGTGTATCTTTGTCATTCTCTATACAAAATGAAAAGGACAGACAGAGATCCTGCCAGAATCGACACCATTTACTTAGGTTGCTTTCCAATTACAGCATTATAGCGATTATGCGGCATAATGCTTAACGTTGAGTGTTCCAACTACACCAACGCTTCGCACAATTGAGCACTCTCAAAAGTGATGCTTTCGTGTAATGCGTGCAATGGTACCAACTTAGAGACAGAAAATTAACAAGTGTTTTTTCTTTAAGTTGGCATTGATCGAAATGTTTTATTTATATGTTATCGTTAGTAATATTATTTATTGTTGAAAAATTATTAAAGCTTTCGTTTCATTAAATAGTTTTTTTTAAATAATCAAAGTTCATTCAAACTGTTAAAAAATAAATATAAGTATGGATGAAGGTTGAACATTGACTTTTTTTTTCAACACTGAACTTAGCGCACTCTGCTGATGCATTTGAAAACTAATTCACGTTCCAATTAAGCATATCAGCATAATTCGGCATTGTGCGGCACTGAGTCGCATTATGCTCTATAATTGGAAAGCAACCTTAATGTGTAAGTATGCATGTAGCAATTTTCAATCAAGGCTATTTTTTAGGCTGACAGGCTGGCAAGAAAAAGACAAATGGTATTTGGTTTTAATATCTCACTCTTACAGAAAAGAGTAATCTATGATTACAGACATGGATGTGGATTAACTGCAAGTATCCCGCGCTTACCTTAGTTCTTATCGGACAAAAGTTGTTTAAACCTATTTACCAATTTATCAATACGACCTTTATCGATATTTAATTTTGATTGTTTCTTAATACAACCACATCTCCATACATCTAACTTGACTTGACACCTTGTTTTACGAATTTACAATTAAGACTTGAGAATAATCGACGAATTTAATAATTTTATAAAAGAGTCCTGGTATAACTTAAAAATATTACTGAAATGAAAATATTCTTGACATTTCCACCAATGATAATGACTTGTAAACAAACGACGTGGCTTCGGTCTTCTGAAAACACCAAAAAAAACTACTAATTAGAAAATAATAAAAAGAAAAACACTAAGAAAGAAGCAGAAATACTTTTGATCTAGAAAGTAGATTAAAGGGAAGACAAGATACCTAAAAGAAGACTTGGCTCCAGCCTCAAGGAAGAAGAAATTACAGAATAATAAACTTAAGAATCGGCTGTATGGGCACAGTACCTTTTGCCTTCCTAAAATGGGATTCATAGACAATTTGTTTTGACAAGTGTTAACAATTTATACCATCGTCCTAGTCTGTGGTCGAAAGTTTAGTTCGACGAAAATGACGAGCTTCGTGTTTCGCGTTTGAAAAATATTATAATTTTGTGATATCGCCATCATGACAGTTTGGGAGAAATTAGAAAATGAAGACTGTTACGCCGTCGGTGAGTTTCTTTATAATTCATCCCGGTGCATAAACTTCTACAGTAGGTTTTATCTCGATTCTATCCTGTACCACTTGTTGCCTATGTTACCTCCCGCTGAGTACGAGATAAATATAAACATTGTATCATACATAACGCGTCGAGAACCGTTGACTATGTTATTCTGTAAGAAACTAATCGTAATTTAATTTCATAGTCGTATAAAATATCCTTTAGGATTGGGCCACTCCCTTATTTCAAGGCAATACATGACTGATGGCTAATTCATTATGTTATGAAGGTGATATGACGTGCTTTAATGTTTTCGTAATGAAACTTAAAACAAAAATCAAAATCTTGTTAAATGATTTAATTGAATAGTCTTTTGTCTTGTCTGTGATGCGACTACTTATGAAACTAAAATAATCTTATTAAATCTAAGGAATTTTAAGTAACTATACATTTTAACTAATAAGACATAAATAATAGTTAGTTTAGAATCTGGTCTCAAGTGATGAATAAAATCAGATTGTTTTTGGTTAATTAAGATATTGAATTATTCCATACTCAACTTAGCTATTCTGTTTTATTTCAAATATATACCAAATATGGCCGGCTTTATTGTAGGCAGTATTAATTCCCATACTCTTAATAGTGTTCAAAATGTAATTAAGGTATATATTCAGTTACATTTTTGATTCTTAATCTTTATATATATAATTCTTCTGTGAGTGTGTATGTCACTGAACTTCTCTTAAACGACTGAACCGATTTTGATGAAATTTTTTGTGTGTGTTCAAGGGGATCTGAGAATGGTTTAGATTCACAATTTTGTCCGCTGGACAATGTTTTTTTAATTAAATTTTTTTATGGCGGTACGAAGTTCCCTGGGTCAGCTAGTTGTTATATAAATCCTTGCATTTTGTTTAAGTCAGCATTCTGATTGGAAATATTTTATGTTTCTGATGTTTATAACTAATGTTTTCTTATTTAATTAGACCAGTCCTCGTAGCATGACCACCATAGAAATTTGTCAATTGAGTGTGATAAAAATGAGCAATATGCCATAAAATATTAAATAATTTATTATGTTAAAATCACCATTTGGCGTATGCGCAAGCTTGCAGCACTCGGTGTTTTCAGCATTGTGCCAAATTGCGGTGCTCATGATGGGAGGGCGGGTTTTATTTTGTTTGCAAATTGTTATTTGAGTAATTTGAAATGCAAAAGTTAAAATAATATCATAATTTTGATGAGAAAGTTCACAGTAGAATATATGAGTCGTATACTATCAAAGGCGGCAACGTAGGTAGATTTTCAAAAATGAGATATGAGTATGGTAACACAGGAAATTTAAAAACAAATCTTAAAAATCTCTCATTCAGGATTACAGATGACCATAATACCCTTAAAAACTTGATTGAAAACTCAATTTGGTTTCAAAGGTGGCAATCTTTCTCATCTCGCAATCATAACCGGCCATATTTTAATTTCAACCAATCAGAAGAGTTTCTGCAATAGCGTCGCAACATGGCAGAAAGTGCAGTTCAATACATTTTTGTGTTGAGTTTTTAGTGATTTAAAGTTTCTACTTTAGTGTTTGTTACTTATCATGGAGCAAACTCCAACAAATACTACTAATTACACAAGCAAACGAAGAAGGAATAGCGATACATGGAAGAGGAATGTGATAAAAAGCTAAGATAATTTCGTGTTATTTACTAGGTTAGGGTTGGCGCCTATTTGATTTTCCTGTGTAAATATAATTACACAGATAAAAGTCACAAAAACATTTTAATAGTAATATTTGTTGATTTCTTTTGATAGTTACGGATCCTGCCCGTGGAATATTGTTTTATGTTTGAAACATGAATTTTTGTTATCCTTATCTCCTCATTACATTACCGGTTATCCATATACTAATATGTATGTAGAAATATAGTTTTTTTTATTTAAAAAATTATTAAATAGTAGCGATAGAGCATACCAATAATAGTCCATTCATTACAGTTACTTCAATTTAGTTGATTTTATTGAAGTTATACTTCTTTAGGCGCGTTATGAAAAAATGATGAGAGTGAAATTTTAAGATGCGCGCGCATCACTGTAACACAAAATTTTAACAGCATGTAGTTGGTCGCTTTAGCGACCTACTTCATGCTGTTACTTTTGTGTTTACCGCACTGGACTAAAAAATAAATGCATTGATAACATTCCCAGTGAATTGATTAGAATTTGAATTTTGAGTGATTTTAAACACCAAGCTGAGTTTTAGGCTGGCCGTCTGTCACTATGCTTTCCAGCTGAAAAAAATAGTTCTTACTCTACCGCAAAGTCACAAAATTGCAAAAAACAGACTTTGGCCTGTTTTTAAACATGCAAATATCTACTCAATTTATAGCTTAAATTAATAATATGATTCAAAACCATCAGTATGTGAAAAAAGGGAGGCTTAAAATGCTTTCAAACGTTTTCCTAAAGAGTAAACTACTTTTGAAATGTATTGTTCTGGTGGTGTTTTTTATAATTATGCTGAATTTGCAACACTGGATGCGTTGCGAGTTCTTTTTGCTGTTAGACTCTGTGGAAAAACTGTTTTTTTAGCATGTTAGTTTTGAGGATTCTTGTAGGTCAAATTACTGTAACACCCTTTACAGAAAAGTTGAATGAATATGCAATACAGCTGCTTTATTGTGATTACATTAGTATGGTTGTCGGAAAGTGTTATGCCAATCTTTATACGTTTTGATATTTTAGGAAAATAGTAACATCTGTTATGTAATGGGTGTTATATACATTAAAAGAATGGATTTTTAGAAAAAATAAATAGGTGTTTTAAGGTATATTATTAAAGAAAGACGTTTATAAAAAAAATTTTTTTTTGATGCAGTGTGAAATACCCTCGAACACTAAATATCTTTATGTCAATTTCAACTGACAGAAGTGAATTTAAAACATTTAAATTACGAAATTAAAAACAAAATAAATATATATACTACAACAATACTGTATTCTATAAAATATTTTTAAATTAAAGATATTTTGTTTAAACATTTTGTTTCGATTTTACACTACGAGTGTACACCTGTTACTAAAGCATGTAACACCTGTTACGCATATACATATACATTAGAAATATAGTACAATCATTCCTAAAAAATAAAATCAATAGGCATCATTATGCATCCACCTTATTTGACTAAACTAGCAAACCAGTGAACCAAATGTTCACCAAAAAAAAAAATGTATTTAATTAATTGAGAACTTCAGAGATTTTGTGTGGTTTCGTTTGAAATAGAAATCACGTGATTTCTCGAAAACCGGAAGTGCTACGTTACTCACATCCGGTTTGTAGTCTTATCAGACTATTCTTAACTTATAACTAAAACATTCTCTATATCTATCTCTTACGGTTTGGCCGCTGAAACAGCACCACGGACGGACGGACGGACGGACTTGTCTAATAGATAAGAGATTTTTAAACTTCTATATTTATGTAATTGATTTATGTAATATTTACAATGTAAGAAGTAGTAAGAAGTAATTTGGAGAGTAAAAATTAATGTTTTCATTCAAGTTCACTGTTTAATTATCGATTATACGTGTGCAATCTGTAACACCAGTAATATGGAATGACCCATATTGTGGTTAGGAATCAAATAAAATATGCTAAATATTCATAATTAAGTATATTGATTAACTAATAGTTGCTTTACTAATTATGATTTAAATTAATATCTAAATCTGTATTTACTAAACACTGGAATAAATGTAGCATCAATATAAGTGAAACATATAAGGAAATATAACGACATGTTATTAATCATTATTTCCTTGTTTAAAATTTTATAGATATTTATAGCATATTGTTTTGATGTCAAAACATATTGTCCTGTGGGAAATTTTAAATATGCTATCAAAGCAATTAAGAAACTGGTTGAAAAGTTTAAAAAAATATTTAACTGATTTGAGCTTTATTATGTTTTGTAAAATACTAGGAATATATAAATGACTAAAGACCCGCCCTCTTTTTCGCTTCGCTGTAGAGAGCTGTAGATCTCCCCCTTCCCTGATTGGTATGTAACTTGGGAATGGTCTAATTCAAAAAGTAATTTACAAGTACCTGAAATAGTCTTTTTTTTATTAGGATTAATAGCCCGGTATGAATAATGAGGCCTAGTATGTACCGGCGTTACTGTTAGTTATTGTGACAAAAATGTATTAGTTAGACATATGGTCTCGTGGACTTTTTTGTAGATATTGATGACCTCAATAAAACCTTTAAGTACATCACATTGCTCTATAGTCAATAACTGCCACAGCGAACGCGACTTTTTACAAGCTTTTATTTAACTTGCTATGTATGTTTGTTACGGTCAAATCTTACAACTCAACTTTAAAGCACTTGCCCTCAACCGATTAAGCTGAAATTTGGTATGCTCGTTCAGTTCGGATGACAATGCATGCTTAACAGTTCTAAATCCAATATGGCGGCATACCCAAAATGGCATACCAATCATTTTTAATGCATTCCTACAATATGGGTATCAAATTAAAGGGCTTGCTGAGAGTAACTCGAAAAAAATGTGACGTCACTCTCAATCCAATATGGCGGACTTCTAAAATTTGAAAATCTATTTAGAAACAAGCTTTAACTAAATTTTCTTTTTTTCTTTTTAGCGCATTTGAATAAAAGCTTGTTTTTAAAAAGGTTTTTGTACCTTAATTTTATTTGGTGTTTGTTTTTACACGTTGGGTTACATTAACGAAGTTTTGATACAGAACCCTAACTTTTTTTTAAAATAATATTGTATAGCAATGAATTTTTCAAATCGTTCCAGTAGTTTCGGATCCTATTCAATACAAACAAACAATTATATCTTTCCTCTTTATAATATTAGTATTATCGTATATATACAATTCTGGTGTCACAATGTTAGTTACCATACTCCTCTGAAACGGCCAGACCGATTTTTTTGAAATTTTATATGCATATACAGTATATTTTTTTTATCGTTTAG